GGAGGATGGGTAGAGGGGAGGGGGCGGGGGGGGGGGGGGGGGGGAGGGTGGAGGGGGGGGGGTGAGTGTGTCCTGGAGGTGTGTTTGATCTCCTGACTGTGTTAATGTGATATCCAGTCCCTGTCTCTGATCCTCTCATCATCATAAACGTCGTTATAAACACTGTTAATGTCTCGTACACAGACACAGTGAGTTATGTCTTTTATTAAATAAATATAATGTCCTCGTCCTGTTTACTGTGTAAGAAATATGTTCCTGAAAATAGTTCTGGGTCCTGGTGGGAGCTGTAGTAATCTGCAGGTTGTGGGTGTGAATCCCTTTAGTGGGTTTAGGTGGAAAATGTGTCTGTTACGCTGCTCACACCAGAAAAATACAAAAATACATTTTCCATTTTTACCGCTGACATTTCCCTGAACCTCCCATCAGCCTGCGTGTCTAATTCCAGGATAATGTCGGACTGAACTCGGGAAAAAACACTGAATAGACGAAGAAGAAAAAAATGAAATCAGGCGTGTGGGCGACGAGTTCTGCCTCCTACACGTGTGCTCCACTCCTGCTGCTGCTGTTACTGCTGGTGCTGTTACTGCTGCTGTTTCTGTTGTTTCTGCTGCTGTTGCTGCTGCTGTTGCTGCTGCTGTTACTGCTGTTACTGTTGCTGTTACTGCTGCTGTTGCTGCTGCTGCTGCTGTTGCTGCTGCTGCTGCTGCTGTTATTGCTGCTGCTGCTGTTGCTGCTGCTGCTGTTACTGTTACTGCTGCTGCTGCTGCTGTTGTTGTTGTTGCTGCTGCTGCTGTTGTTGTTGTTGCTGCTGCTGCTGCTGTTATTGCTGCTGCTGCTGTTGCTGTTACTGTTACTGCTGCTGCTGCTGACCCTGCTGATCACCTGTTCTGTCTGTGTTAATGTGTGAGCAGCTGCCGTCATGGGTTCACGTCTGTGACGCCGGTGCAGGATGAAGAAGAGTCTGAAGAGTCTGACAGAAAACGTCTGTGACTCAGACCAACAGCTGACAACAGGAGGACAGGACAGAGGAGGAGGAGGAGGAGGAGGAGTGGACAGGTGTGAGTGCCTCTGAGCTGGAGACGAGTCAGGAAAGGAGGAGAGGAGAGGAAGGAAAAAGGAGGAGGAAAAAAATCTGCAGGCGATCAGTAGATGGAGCTGCAGAGAACCTGAAGAAGACCTGAGCTGTCAGAGTGAAGCTCTGGGTGGACAAGTTCTAGGACAGACATAAAAGACTGGTTTCAGTCTTTAACATAATCATGTCTGTGTCAGGGATTTGATCAGATTTTTTTTTTTTTAAATCAGAGCAAACGTCACACATTTATTTTAAATGTTGCTTCAAGGAACATTTGAGGGAAATAAATTTCATTCCTTAGACCTGAGCAAGAAACAGGTTGTGACCTGGGGGTCAAAGGTCATCATCTGTCTTAGAACTTTTTGACCAATTCTTAATTCACGTTTGGAATGTTTTTGTATAAACCTTTTCATTTTTAGCTTATCCTGAAACAAATTAATGATCTTAATTTTTTAATCAATTATTCTCATTTCACATATTCAGTTTTTCTGTCATTCTAAATTTTTTTTTTACTTTAAATTTTGAAGAGTAATCCACCAACAACACTCTGTTTGATAAAGTTAAAGAACTCCTTTACATTTTAATTATTGTTTCTTAAAAGTATTTTGTAATAAACTACAATTCACGGCCCCTCCCTTCACGTTAAAAGCTGATTAGAGTGAGTTCTCAGCTCTGATTGGCTGTCACACCTGTCCACTCCTTCCTGCTGCGTCTCCACTGGGGAACGTCAAGAACAATGTAGAATGACGACTGCTTATTGTACTCCTCTCGGTCTAAGATCCTAATCGTTATGGACTTCCTGTATGGGACACACACACACACACACACACACACACACACACACAGAGGGAGG